CCCCTTGCTTTAGAATTCTCTGCCATTCCCAAAAGCGTGCTGTCTAGAACCTGATTTTTTTTTTTAATTATTATTATTGCACCTGTGTACCAGTCCTATCCTACGACAAAAGATGTATTTGGCTTTGTTGGCATTATTACTGTAGTGCCTTTGTGTAGCTGCACCCACTGTCCTTTGACCTGTCACCATTTTATTGCAGCAGCCATCATTTTTTAATTCATTCTTGTTTTGTTATAATAATTGTTTTGTTTTTTTTATCTCCTGGAACAGAGATTTTATTTTTTATTGGAAATTTACATCCCTTTTGATACCTGTAACAATGTTATGGTTACAAACTGACACAAATACAGTGCTGTAGAATATGCCCCAAATTTCAAGATTAAGTGTCAGTCTTTTGCAAAGTTTCACTTCTGGGTGTACATGTGTAGGCTGAATTTAACATCTGGCTTCTGCTTATTATTTACCCATCTCACTCTGCCTGGTGTGTTCTCCATTATATAGAATTCAAAAGAATCACAAAGGTGACCCGAGACACACTTTTATTAGCTGCAGTAAATGCTAAGACCTCAGGGGTGGAGATGCCAATGCTAGTTTAAGAAGCCAATGCATAATGCATTTTTCGGCAATCTGCCCAAAACCAAAATATATTTTTGGGTGGACTGACCCTTTTTAGTAAATGCTGATATTTGCTCAATGTGTCATTCTAGTCCATACTTTCAATTAGTCGTTGTGTAAAGGCACAATACCTCAAACACGAGGCATTATATGCAGAGAATGAAGGATGCCCAGTAATAGTCATTACCCATGAAGATGCTTAAGCTTTTTTTTTTTCATTATTTGTTTTTAAAGCTTGATGTAGGATATATATTTGTGTATTTCTATTTCTGTCTTGCAGTTCTGGAACCAAATAACTGTATGGGTAGGCCTCAAAGTATTTTGTACGTTGCTAAAAAGTTTAATTGCCTGTTATTTTACAGCATGGCTTATGCTTTAATAAAACTAACATTTTACAACTGGTGTAGTAACTACTCCATGCGTGGTATTAGATGGTTAATTTTGTTACTTTCATATGTTTCTATTTGAGCTCTTCATGGACGGTTACTAGATTGGCTACTTTGTATACTTTGATTTAGGGTTGCTGAAGTTTTGATGATAATATTTATGTGCTGCAACTCTGTGTTATAATTTACTTTAGTAGTGAAAAATCCAGTTTTACAATAGGGCATGTTTCCCTTTTGTGTTAAAAATTCTGATTTTAATACAACTTCATCTTTACCTGCTTTAGGCCTCCGATTTAGAGATGCAATGACTTCAGTTTTGGTCCTGGACAGTTTAAGCTGGCATTGCAGAGAAACTGCCTCATCATATTCCAACTGGAGAATAAAGGATACACTCCAGCTTGTCATATTTTATTTTTTTATTTTTTTTTGTTTACACAGCTTGTACTCAATGTCCAGCATTAAATTAGGGTTAAAGAAACCTTGTCACCGTTCCCATTTAGGTCAAAGTGACAGTGTCTGTGTAAAGGCACCCCCATTTCAACCTTCAAATACTTTCTCACTGCTCCTTCCTCTGTCGTGGCTGATACCAATCTGGTTGGTGTCAGACGCTAAGGGGAGTGTTGACGTCACTCTGTCATGTGACAGTGCTTAGGCCTAGGTATTATTTGTTAGACTAAAGCACATGAGAGGAGGTCACATGCTCCTACATACCATTGGGAATTTCCACCAGCGTACAGACATTATAGGTATTAGGTTGCTGTTGCATCGGATTTCAGATCTTGCATAGAAATATACAGCCTAACTATATCCTTGTCCAGTGAAATTGTGCTTTCATAAAGAATACCTGTGCTGAGATAAATATGGGGGCTGCCACAAAACTCCTTTTTAAATTTAATTGCAGAATTGTCATGCTGACCCGCTTGCTTTAATATTTTTAGAGAACAAAGATGCAGGCCAGGAGAAGGTCAACAATGATGGCTATTTCTTACATGAGGGGGTTTCCTTTAAGCAGGTTCCTCCAAGGCAGATAAATGACAGGATCAGGATACAGCCACAGCTGATGGGTAACTAGCAGAGGAGGCTACATATATTTATCAGAGTTCGGTGGCTATTTTTAAACTGTCCTGTCATTTTTTTTTTCCAATAAGCTCTCAAAAGAGCCCATAGACATTGAATTAATCTCCCTATCTGGCCAAAATTGTTGGATAGGACAATGATGCAATGTAACACTAGTGCCAGTAAGGTAAAGCATATCGAAACAAAAATATATTGTACTGTGGCTTACCAGTCCTTAAAGTGACATTAAAGGCAAAAACTTTTTTCCTCCCCCCAATGTCAATGTCAGCACCTCCCTTTTAATGATGTTTCTTAATCCGATCTTCTTTCTTGTCCTTTTCATCTGTCCCTCCAGCGCTGCGGCCGGTCTCCGATCCAGCGCAGACACCTCTGGGCTTGCTGGCACTTCCTGTCCCATGGTGCCGACCAATAGGAAACAGTTGGGAGGGCGGGTGGACGCGTCCATAGACTTACCTTGTGTCTCTCCTCGCATCCCGGCCGAAAATGTGATCTGCGAATGCGCCCGCCCCAAGATGCTTTGCGGCCGCCCGAGATTTTTCACATGTTCAGACGGGAGCGCGCGTATATCTACTG